CCGGACTTCTCAAGGTATAAACCTGAAACTCTTAAACTCAAACTCAACTGCATCGAAGCTAACTGAACTATCTCCCACACAGACTCCAGTGAACCAGCCCCCAGGCCTGAACCAGTACCAGTATTATTTCCATGTGCTTGTGAACAATAAACTTGTTAAACTTTTCTTCAGTCTCCGTGGTGTTCTGCATATTGGGCTTTTCAGTAACCAATCCTGACAGAAATAAGTATTTGACCCCTTGCTGATTTTGCAGGTTTGCCCACTTACAAAGAATGCAACAATCTACAATTTTGATCATATGTACATTCTAATAGTGACAGAATCCCAAAGGAAATTCCAGAAATTCACAACATATGAATTCATAAAAATTGAAACCATCTGATGAGGAAAAACTATTTGACCCCCTACCAAACAGCATGTTAATATTTTGTAGAAAAGCCATTATTGGCCAGCACAGATGTCAAACGGTTGTTATAGTTGCTGAAAAGGTTTGTGCACATTTCAGCAGGGATATTGGCCCACTCCTCCCTGCAGAAAGCCTCCAAATCATTCAGGTTCCCAAGTTGTCGCTTGGCAACTCGAATTTTAAATTCCCTCCAAAGATTTTCAATTGTATTCAGGTGTGGAGACTGGCTAGGCCACTCCAGAACCTTGATGTGCTTCTTCTTTAGCCACTCTCTTGTTGCCATGGCGGTGTGCTTAGGGTCGTTGTAGTGCTGAAACACCCATCCTCCACCCATCTTCAGCTCTCTCACTGAGGGAAGGAGATGTTGGTCCAGAATTCCACCATACATGGCCCCGTCCATCCTCCCCTCAATACCATGGAGTTGTCCTGTCCCCTTGGCTGAAAAGCACCCCCAAAGCATGACCTTGCCACCACCATGCTTGACTGTGGGGATGGTGTTCTTTGGGTCGTACTCGCTGTTCTTTGCCCTCCAAACACGACAAGTTGAGTTTGTGACTGTTTCACAAGGTTAATTATTTTAGTTTTTTTTTTTTTACTGGTGCCTTCAGGGTTACAGAGTGGCAGTCTGGATCCCTTTGGAGAAAATGGGGCTCGAATTCTGAATCATTCTTACCTGGACTGATGACTGGGATGGTAATGGTTGATGGTGATGAGATGCCATGCTCGTTTATCGCTGTTACCGTGACAACATGTTCTTTACTGGGGTCCAGAAGTAGAGAGTATCTGTTGATGCTGTGGTTTACCAAGAATGTGGTGTTTGCCCAAGTTACTTCATATTTTATGATGTTTCCATGGCTCTGGTTGTTCAGAGGCTCCTGCAAAGAGAGCGGGGCTTTAGGTAGCCAAATGGTTAAGAACCCTTTATAATCCAGGAGAAGGTTGATGCATGTCTGCGTTAAATAACTTTGTCAGAAACTTTAGATGACTCAGGTGGATGTATTAAAAATCAGAAGGATTTTACACTACCTGAAAAACAGACCACAGTTTGTGAAGCTGAAGGATAAGAAAAAGGTTAAGAAAAACCTGCTACAGGAGATCCTTCCTGCCGACAGCTAGTGACATCTACTACTCACTTATGAAAAACAACATTTCATTTACCTTTTGGATTTAAGTGATTTAAATATATAGTTTAGAGGAAATCGTCGGTCAGACCCAGAACTCTATAAAAGATCAATGAATTCCCTGTAAACCCCCTCAGATATTGCTTTAGCCAGGATGTTACCTCTAACTAAACCCAGTTGAAAAGATCTGAATTGTTTCCCCTGAGTCCAACACTCTGGATGATCAGATCCTCTTTAGTAGAAGACCTGTTCCTAGACTAAATTATACTGTGAGGCTTAGAGATCTATGTTTTGGACAATTCCACAATTTAGGAAACCAGATAACCAGAAGCTTAAGACTCACCTTCCAAACTATTAGTGTGTGTTTTTCCTGCCACTTCATCCACACGTCAAGAGCATCTGGAACTGCAGTGGAAGAAGTAAAATATTTAGTTTCTAAATCCCTTTCTCTTCTTGTTTATTTAACTTTGTTAAACAGTCTTTATTGATTGAATTTCGATGATTCATCATAATAATTAGTGTATTATTTATTAAATAAATTTAATGATTGGGATAAATTCTTTCCACAAGGAATTATCTTTACAAACATCATTAACACTCCTGATCAATAAAAATTTAATAAAAATGGAAAGATAAACAAAACCTAAGGTTATTTAAAAGAACAGTTAAATAATGTCCTATATTTATTTCCTAAAGAACATAGACATAGAACAAAGAAAAGTATCACTAATTGATCTACGGGCAACTAATCGGAAGAACTCTTTATAACAGGTAGGTAATCAGAACGTAAGACAGGAAAACAAACACACAGAAATAGACTTGGTCCCAGTTTCACAGAGAAGCTTCCTTGTTTCCTCCAGAACCAGCACAGGGTTGGAGGGTGTTAGAGGCAGTGCAGGCTCCGCCCATCAGGTCCCTGAGTTTGACTTTTAACCCCAGAATGCTTCTCTGACGCCAATCTTTTTGTTAGTCAAACAGGTGAAAATTTATTTAAAAAAAACTAAGAGTGACTTAAAAGTCTCAAAGCTTTCATTAATAGAAGCAGCTGGGATAGTCGGAGAAAGATTTACTCTCCTCTTGGTTTAGAGATAAAGAGCTTTATCCGGCTTTTCTTAGGACTATTCATAGAACTCACGTCATAATGGGCGGACAAAAGCCTAACCCCAACCTAAATTCAACCTGACCATCATGGGTTTATACCTAACCCCAACCTGAACTCGACACTTACAGGTTCATACCTAACCCTAATCCCAACCTGAACTGGACAATTACAGGTTCATACCTAACCCTAACCTAAACCCGACCATCACAGGTTCATACCCCACCCTACACCTAACCTAAACCCGATCGTCACAGGTTCATACCCCACCCTAATCCGAACCTAAACCCGACCATCATGGGTTCATACCTAACCCTAATCCCAACCTTAACTGGACAATTACAGGTTTATACGTAATCCTAACCTGAACATAAACCTAACTATCAGAGTTCATACCTAACCCTAATCTCAATCTAAACTGAACAATTACAGGTTCATACCTAACCCTAATCCNTTCATACCTAACCCTAATCTCAATCTAAACTGAACAATTACAGGTTCATACCTAACCCTAATCCCAACCTTAACTGGACAATTACAGGTTCATACCTGACCCTAACCTAAACCCGACCATCACAGGTTCATACCCCACCCTAATCCGAACCTAAACCCAAACATCATGGGTTCATACCTAACCCTAATCCCAACCTGAACTGGACAATTACAGGTTTATACGTAACCCTAACCTGAACATAAACCTAACTATCAGAGTTCATACCTAACCCTAATCCCGATCTAAACTGGACAATTACAGGTTCATACCTAACCCGAACCGAAACCTGACCATCATAGTTCATAGCTAACCCTAATCCCAAACCTAAACTTGACGATTACAGGTTTATACCTAACCCTAACCTAACCCCAATCCAATCCTAAACCTGGCCATTACCAGTTCATACCTTACCCTAACCTAAACTCAATTCACACCTTAATTCTAAACATGATCCCATGGGGACCAGCATTGGTCCCCACTAGAACACATGGTCCCCAAGATGTGCTATATTTTATGGAAAAGGTTCCCGCAATGTAAGAAATGCATGACCAAACTTAAGGAGAATTTAGAGACACCACTTAATGTCATGTCATGTTAGATAAGTGTGGGAGTAAGCTTTAGTACCCAGAGAGAACCCAGGGTTAGGGTTAACCCATACACACGGAGAACAGTATGCTGCTATAGGCTTAGACTGCTGGAGGACATAGGGACCCCTTTTTCATCATCCTGCTTCATTCTATCTCTATTCTCCCACTCTGCAGAATCTGTTAGTTCAATCTCTAACGTTCTGCTCTCTCTGCTTTTTCTCATAGTAGCTTCATCTGGTCTGTTCCTGTTTGGCTGTGACTCCATCCTGGAGAGAAATATCAGCTGTGCTGCTGCCATCAACACCTTTGTTTCTAGATGTTGGAGCTTGGCCTGTTTTCCAGTGTAGTCCTGTTTCTCTGACTGTGACTAACTGGATGTGCTCTCTTCATCCTCTGACATGGGAGCTGGCTCGGAGCTCGTCTGCCTGGCTGTGTGTTTCCTGGACGGGGCCGCCTGTGGAGCTGGTTGACAGTTGCCTTTTGTATCTATGCTTCTTTTTCTATGTCTGCTTCTGTCTCCTTGAACCCCAGTGGGCCTCAGCAGATGGCCGCTCACACTGAGCCTGGTTCTGCTGGAGGTTTCTTCCTGTTCAAAGGGAGTTTTTCCTCTCCACTGTCGCTACAAGCATGCTTAGTGTGAGGGATTGCTGAAGAGTCGATGCAATCAGCTGGTTTTCCTTAGATAGAAAACTTTGAATCAATCTGACTGGATGATCTGGTGAACTTTTAAGTGTCTTGAGATGACATGTCGTGAATTGGCGCTATAGAAATAAACTGAATAGAATCTACTTGATTTGAACATGAAAACTACATGTAGAAAGACCCTCAGCCAGGAATCGAACCAGGATCTCTTGCTGCAAGGCAGCAGTGTTATGGTGCATGCGCAAATTCAATATTTTACTCAATAAATTTGACTTATTATTCATAAAAAATATCTTAAACTGCAGAGCAAGTGCTGAATCTGAAACTGTCGTGATTCTGCGCTTTCTGGACTTTTTGGTTCTGTTTAAGTTTTTTTGGGTTCTCAGCTATGCTTATCTTATGCTAGCATGTTTGTCGAGATTTATATAATTTTTGAATTATTAGATTTATTCCCCTTGTTAGTTCCTTCATTTATCTGTTTTCAGGATTTTTGGTGTATATATATATATATTTGGTCTAGTTTTAGTCATTAATTTTATTTAAGTTCTTCCCAAGTTATAGTTTGATCCTGTTTTTCCTGGTTATTCTTTGTCGCTCTCTACTGTCTAATTTCTTTCCCCTTAGCTCCTTTTTAGTTGCTCCTGTCCACACCTGCTCCCTATCCACTGATTGTCCCATTCATTGTTTGTTTCTCCCATATATACATCTGCTGTGCAGTTCCTCTTTCTTGGATTATCTTCATTACTTTATTCCTTATGTTAGTTTCTCGAAGTGTCTCCTAGTTTTTAATTCCTGATTTCCTTACCTGTAAATTATTTATTTCTGCCTGTTTCTTGATTATTAGTTACCAACATCTTCATTAAATCTACAAGAAATCATCTCTGCCTCTCCGTAACCCTAACCATCTGGTTCCTCAACAAACATCCACCAAACCTGACACTGTCATGCAACAATTCAATCAGCTGTCACAATAAACATAGGTGGATTAAATATGTGTCAGGATATGAGAGGATGGTAGACGGGGGGTTAAGGGATGACTAAAGGGGTCATGCCCTCCTCTTATTCCTAAATGAGAGGGGGGAATGACCCCTTTAGATGAGAGTTCACTGTTGTCTACTTCTTATTCTTTAAACATTTCAGGATTGAGACCTGGGAATGAGTTTTAAATGATCTGCAGACAGGATTTATCAAGGTTTTCCCCTGTGCTGTAACCCCTGGAATCAACCACCATACATTATTTTAGCCATAGCATTTAAGGCAAGTAATGACACTAAGCCCTATTAGTCTTATTAGCTTCAGCTAACACGGTGAAATCCAGTTTCTAGGTCCTGAAAGAATCATGAGAGGAGAATGGAGTTTGGCAGTTTTACTCTAATATGTAGCAAAATTAATGAAGAATACATGTCTTCTCCCTAGCTATATGGTTAGCAATTGCTGTAAGAGAAGATTTAGCATTTTCAGGCAATTGCTAATAAAATCAGACCTATGTCATGAGATAAATGTACATTTAAAATAACTTAAATAACATTAGTCTAGTGCTGCAAACAGTTAGTTCTCTGTAATATACAATTGAATGCTGAGAAATCCTTGCATTGTCTTACTGTGCTGCAAGGACATTACAGAACGTATTGTGAACGTATGTTTTTTGATTGTTCGTGTAACATAAGGTTACACGAACTAAATGCTGCAAACTCCAAGCAGACTGTAGTTTTTACAGGTATTCATTGTGATATTTCTCACTTTCTGTAAAATAAGGCTGTCCATCCTGGTGGAAAGCTGGTTATTTCCAACAGATACTTATCAAATATACTTTGTCTTATAAATGAATGGCTCTAGACAATATTTGGTAAAATGAGTGAAAAAACTTCTCTTTGTAATGTAAAGTTTGCACACCAATCTAGCCCTATCTCAGCCATATTTTTTATGTAAAGACTGACTCACATTAGTTCCTTAACACAGTAGCTGAACCTTCCAGGATGGTGTCTGCTAAACAATAGTTTAAACAATACTTTAAAGAAATCTCAAGTCTGGCAAGTATTTCTGGAAAAGAGCTTAAAAGTAGTTAAATGATTAAACGGAAGGCGGGGTTAGGGTGCGTCAGATACCAACCATCACCCTTTGTGAGGAAGGTCACTTGTTTGCTCCAGTCGCCCAATATCGAGTGGTTAGCTGTTTGGCACCGGACAGTCAGGTTATAATTCCAGTTTGGTCTCAGATCAGTTAAAGCTGTACCATTCAGTCCGACTCCATGTTTCTAGGCAACCAATTTAGACATACCAGAGTTTAGAGAACTTTCTACAATTTTGTCTCGTGATCCTTTTTACCACCAACTTACCTTCAGACATACTTGTCCCTCTGAGTCACTGATCAGTATATGGCATGTTAGGTTCAGGTTATGATACCGCGGCACTTTCCACTTCCAGGTAAGGGTGGCATTTCTGGCATTCACATCAGCAGCTGTAAGTCTCTCTGGGGCCCACATGTGAACTAAAAAAAACAGAAACTATTCTCAGCTAAATTTCTTTCATTAAAAGGTTCTGCTCTAAGTTGTTAAAGTACCTCGTTGGGTGAGATCGGCTTGGTAGTTGATTTCCACCTTTCCAAGCGTATTCCAAGCTGTCAAAGTCCAACTCTGCATACCACCTATAACCTTAAACTTTTTATACAATCTTCCTGGAGATTCAGGACTGAAGTTACTGCAAACAAAAATGTTGAGTCCAATCTGAGAGGAAGACAATTATGAAATTTACCTGCAACACATTCATTACTCATTTCACAGTACCTAGACCTTTATTAAGGTATATGCTCAACCCTCAGAAACTACTGCATCTAAATAAGGTTAAACATCCACAGTAGAAATTGGCTTTATGGAGTGTAATTTTAATGTCATACTTTTTAGGTTTCGAAGCATCTCACTCAGCAATTAGTTTCAGTCGGTTTTATTAGCCTGTCCTCCATCACTTCTGCAACTCTGGTTTCAGGTACGAGTCAGTTCCTTAAAGTCACGGTCTCAAACTAATAAGACACTGTCCCTCTGGGCTCCCCGAAGCCTTCCTTAATCTCTGGTGACGAGGGGAGTGAAAAATCTTCTACATCAAGAGTCCTATCTGTGTTTTAGAGACCAGAGTCTCTTTGCACTCTGGTCATGCTTCAATATGCACTGAAATGCTGAAATGCTGTCTGGGGCGGTTATGTTACTAATGGATGACTTTCCCTGTAAAGTTTCTTCAACCTGTTTTCTAAGCCTTTCAAAGTCAGCTATAGGGACATTTTTAACATACTGCATTTGTCACAACAGAGTTCTTTTAGGAAAGATTTTTTTTTCTTGTAAGTTTAGAAGAAAAACACTTTCACTGCAGCTCTGCCTATTGCTGGCTGTCACATATAATGACAGTCCCTTAGAGCCACCTGCCACCCAGTATCATGCTAAGCCACCAAACTTTGTATACACTTCAATAGATGAATGGCCATTGCACAGCGTCTTACCTTCTGGCCTCAGAGTCCAATTAGTTACGACAGAGGCCAATTAGAAGCTAAGTTACATATATTTTTTGTGTTGCAGTATTTAGTTGAGGAGTTAATATCATGTTGTTGCCAAACAAACCCCCTGAGGAGGACATTTATTAGTACCTTTTACACATTTGCACACAATTTAGTATTACTCACTTACTGCATAGGTATATTTGGTCACTTGTTAACATATTTATGTTAGCTTATTTCAAATTGAGAAGAAAATTGGTACACCCTGCTAAGATGTTTACATTCTCTATCTCTCAATACTATATAGCTTTTAATGGTTGACTTAGAAACAACAAGATGTCTTGGTCCTCTGGCTGGAAAATGTAGCTACAAGATGATTATTCTAATATGCTATATGTGGTTTCCTACATAATGCTGTGCATTATGACCAAATATCTCCACTTTGCTCTCATCTTTTCCAGCACACATGTTGTTCTTTCAAAGGCAGCTTTGCTATCTTGCTGTGTTTTTGGAAATATCCTGTTGTAACCTTTAGCTTACTACAAATATATATGTATATTATTTTGTTTTTACCTTCCATTAAGCTGATAATATGTTGGACTTCTGCTTCCCAACATTGTGTCTCTTCCTTCATCCCAGGTGCACTGCACTGATTCCAGATCTCGAGTTTCACACTGAAGATTTCTAACATCAGGTGGGTCTGAATATGGGAACATACCAATAGAATGTGATTTCACTAACTAGAAGAAGGAATAAATTCAACCACACTATCCCTTCCAACTTACAGCCAATGTAAATACTTGCACCACCCACTCCGTCTGGCTCTTTAGTTTCACATTCAACATCCACGCTCCTGTTCCAGACCTCTTCCAGCTGCAGAGTCAGGGCGTGTCTATGCGCACTTATCCTTGTAAGGTTCATGTTTGTCTTCATTGCTGGCCTCAGAAGAATTTGTTTAAATGTTTTCCCTTCTGGGACAATGCAGCAGAAGGTGGCTATGCTGCCAACTTTTAACACCACTTCGTCAGGGAGCACTTTTGCTTTGTCAGATGTGGTTGCACCTGGAGAACAAAAAGGCAATTTTAAACTTTGGCAAAAAGAGATGGGCATATGTTTTTAGGATAATGTAAAGTTGTTAGGCACCATGAAGAGTCTGTTGTAGTTCCATCTGGCCTGTATGGTTGTTGATTTGGGATTTAAGTCTAATGGTGTGAGAGGCACACTCCAATGGCAGATAAGATGTCCAGTTCCAGGAATGAGTCAACTGAATGTCCTCTGGCTTCACCAAGATTTCATCCTGAGATATTTTCACAGCCTTGTCAGTGGCAGAATGTGCATGAGGGATGATAATTAATCATTAATGGACTTACAGTATGAACTTCTTTATTTTCAATCAGAACTGTCATCTTATAGAGGATTGGGTAATTCATAGCTGAGCAGGAAATGTCGTCCTCCCACTCTACTTGCAGCTGGTGGTCCGAACCCCTGACAGTCAGATTCTGAGGCCCGCATTGTAAAATACCTGGGAAAGGAAAAATTAATGCCAAAGAGCTCCTTGTTTAGATCACAGAGCAAAAAAAAAACTGTTGAAGTTATTACTGAAGCATCATCCAAGCATTAGGTAAAGCTCTACATTTGCGGATCCTTAACTTTAAGGTTTAAAAAACTTCTATATGTTATTTAAATCACATACCTAATATTTTAAGCGCAAAAATATACTAATTTCATTTGTAGCTCATTTTATTTACATGTTTAAAATAGGTGAATTACACTTGATTATAAAAACTTATTTTTTTAACCTCTTTGAACCACCGTCTTAACATGATGGAGGGTTTTCAGTTCCTGGATGATCCCAGAGGTTATGTTGTCTGGGGCTCTAATGCCCCTGGTAGGGTCTCCCGGGGCAAACAGGCTCTGGGTGACATGTCAGACAAAGGGCAGTTCACAAAGACCCCATAATGACCAAAATATGGAGGCACATGACATCGGCCAGTACTGAGGAGCCGGTATCCAAGCCCTCAAGCCTGCCCTGTTGTCGGGATTCATCGACAAGCACCTCTATGCGGGTTCTTCCTTGTGGGACACAGCCGTGCCCAGCCTAAAGGAGTGACACAAGGCCATCAGCCATTGAGCTCACCGCCTGAAGGGGCTGGGGGGTGG